GCTGGCAAAGCACATAGCTGCAGAGCAGCAGGAGCAGGAAGCTTGGCAGAAGGCCCAAGGGAAGCGTCAGTGCCGTAATGGCAGCGCTGAGGGACGGGGATACCAGTCCCCCCCGCCCCGAGTGTGACAGTGCTAACAGGGAAACGCGAGGAAGAGCCTGCCCTCCCGTCAAGACCCAAATCTGATCCTCCCCCCTCCAGTCTCAAATCTGACATTACCCCTTCTGCCTGCGTGGGTTTCCCACTCCCCCTGTTTAAGAGGCCTTTTCAAACCATTGCAGGGCATGGAGATGAGAAGTGGGAGTGCTGCCTATTTCTGACAGTTTACAAAATACAGTGCTGGACCATGTGCGCAGGGCCGGGGGCGCTCCACAGGCTTTCGTACAGCCTCCCGTCACCTCCGTGTGCACAGCTCTGGGTGGGCCCTACATTGCTTTGTGTGGCCTCCCAGGGCCTCTGTGCATGCTGAGCTGGGGGGGCCTACAGACTTTCGTGCAGCCTCCCAGAGCCTCTGTGAATGCTGGGCCATGTGGGCCCTACGGGCTTTCATGCGGCCTCCCAGGGCCTCTCTGCACATGGAACCAGGGGGCCCTACCAGCTTTTACGCGGGCCCCCCGAGGCCTCCGTGCGCAATGGGCTGTGTGGGCTGTATGGGGTTTCGTGCAGCCTCACGGAGACTCTGTGCGCACTGGTCTGGGGGGTGCCTATGTTCTTTTATGCGGTCTCCTGGGGCCTCCATGTGCACTGGGCAAGGGGGTCCCTACAGGATTTCGTGCCTCCTCCCGGGGCTTCCGTGTGCACTGGATCTGGGGGTCCCTACGGGATTTTGGGTGTCCTTTCAGGGCCTCCGTGTGCACTGAGCCATGGGGGCCCCACAGGCTTTCAGGTGTCCTGCTAGGGCCTCCGTGTGCACCTGTCCAGGGGGTCCCTATGGGATTTCGTGCAGCCTCCCGGTGACTCCGTGCACACTTGTCTGGGGGAGCCTACATTTTTTTATGTGGCCTTCTAGGGCCTCCATATGTACTGGGCAAGGGGGTCCCTACAGGATTTCAGGCCTCCTCCCAGGGCTTCCATGTGCACTGGATCTGGGGGTCTCTATGGGATTTTGTGTGTCCTTTCAGGGCCTCTGTGTGCACTGAACCATGGGGGCCCCACATGGTTTCATGCATCCTACTGAGGCCTCTGTGTGCACCCGGCCAGGGGGTCCCTATGGGATTTCGTGCAGCCTCCTGGGGCCTCCATGCACACAGGATCGGGGGCTCTATGTGCTTTCATGAGGCCTTGTGGTGCCTCTGTGCGCAGTGGGCTGGGAAGGCCCTGCATGCTTTTGTGTGGCCCCTCAGGGCCTCCGTGGGCAGGGGGCTGGGGGAACCGTGTGGGCTTCCTTGCGGTCTCCAGGGACCTCCATGCATGCTAGGCCATGGCAAGGCCGTACTGGTTTTTGTACTGCCCCTTGCAGCCTCCGTGCACAATGGGGCCAGGGGGACCCTACAGGCTTTCGTACGGCCTCCCAGAGGCTCCGTGCATGCTGGGCCAGGGGGGCCAGGCTTTAGTGCAGCTTCCCAGGGCCCCCATGCGTACCAAAGCTGCGGGGGCCTCCTGGGGCCTCCATGCACACTGGGCAAGGGGCTACCTATGGGCTGTTGTGTGTCCTCTCGGGGCCTCCGTGCGCACTGGGCCGTGGGGGCCTAAGGGCTTTCGTGCGGCCTCCCGGAGCCTCCATACCCACTAGGCCCCAGCGAGGCCGTACTGGTTTTCATACAGCCTCTTGTGGCCTCCATTCGCAGTGGGCTGAGATGTCCCTACGGGCTTTTGTGTGGCCTCCCAGGGCCTCTGTGTACATTGGGCTGGGGGGGCCTACACCCTTTTATGGGAACTCTGGGGCCCTCCATGCGCACTGGGCTGGGGGAGCCCTATGGGCTTCCGTGCAGCCTCCCGGGACCTCCATGTGCACCGGATCATGGGGCTCCTATGGGCTTTCATGCGGCCTCTCGGGGCCTGTGTGCGCACTGGACCCGGTGAGCCCTACAGGTTTTTGTGTGGCCTCCTGGGGCCTTCTTGCACTCCGGACCTGGGGAGCCCTATGGGCTTTCATGCAGCCTCCCGGGGCCTCTGTGCACACTGGGTCAGGGGTCCCTACGCTCTTTCATGCGGCCTCCCAGGGCCTGTGTGCCCACAGGGCCGGGGGGCCCTACGGGCTTTCATGCGCCCTCCCGGTGCCTCTGTGCGCACGAAGCAGGCGAAGCGTGAGTCTTGGCACAGCCCCGCACTCCCCTTGGCATGCGGTGGCAGCCTCACTCCAAATGGGGCTCTGCACTTCCTCCCTCTCCAAACTCTATCCTATCACTAATCCTAAACTCTACCATTACATCAGGAAAATGCCTCCACACCACCAAGGCTGTTTCTCACCAGGTGAGATGTTATGCTGTTCCAGCTCGTAACATCGCTGGCCTTTGCGGATCATCTAGTGCTACTTAGTGACTCTTGGGAAGGCCTGAATGAGAGTATTGAAGTGGTGGAGGAATTTTGTCAGTGGACCGGGCTGCAGGTGCAAGTCTGCAAATGCCACGGATTCCTAAGCAGGCCAACGAAAGAATGGTACCCCATCAATGACTATGATCCGTGGTCAGTAGCCCATGTGCAATTGAATATGACTGATCCAGGCAGTTCAGAAAAATATCTAGGGATAGACCCTTGGATAGGGTTATCCAAACCCAAACTGCAGGAGACATTGGCCCGCTGGATAAGAAACATTGGGGGAGCCCCACTAAAACCACTGCAGAAGGTACACATTCCAAGCCATTATGCAATGCCAAGACTACTATTTAGTGCGTATCACTTGGGAGTTAGTGCTACCTGCATTCCCTGGACCTTAGTATAAAATTGGCCATCAAGAGTTGGTTACATCTGCCACCGAGCACATGTTACACCATCCTCTATGTTAGTTTTAAGGATGGCAGCCCGGGACTCCCCCGTCTGGTGAGGTAGATTCCAAATATACAGGCTCGCAGATGGTTGTGGATTGCCCAATCCAAGGATAACATATAGGAGTGTAGTCCACCAGGAAGGGATCCAAGAGGAGCTGAGGAAGGTCTGGATCTCAGCAGGTGGGCATCCAGACAAGGTCCCATCAGTGACAGAGGAATTCCCCACGGTGGCCCTGGAGACTCTGATGGCTGGTGTGCCCTCTTCCAAATGAGAGAGAGTAGTCCCAAAGACCATCTATCCCATTCCCTGTAGATGGAGAAAAAGGGAAATGGATAATTGGGCCAATCTAAAATCTCAGGACCACAGTATTAAGAACTTTGAAAATGATCAAATTAGTAGTGATTGGCTACTGCATTATAGAGGTATCCCCCATCGCAAATTAATAACGGCCATCCAACTACGAGCCAACGTATTCCCTACTTGGGAATTGTCGGCTCGTGGACTGGGTGAGGGCCCACACAAGGGTTGCAGGCACCATCCTGCGGAGTGGGAAAGCTGTGCTCATATAATTGGCTACTGCCCTGCAGTCCAAGAAGCACGGATCAAGAGGCATAATACCAATGTGGACTGCTGGCTGAAGAGGCACCAAGGCTGGGATGGGAGATATACCTGGAGCCCCATCTCAGGGATAACACCAATTAATTCCTCAAGACAGATTTGATTATGGTTAAAGGGATCCGTGCGATAGTAGTGGACCCTACGGCGCGCTATGAAAGCGGGTTAACAACCTTGAGTGAAGCAGCAGCAGAAAAGCTTAGAAAATATCAACATCTTAGAGAAGTGGTCCGAGCGCTAACATCTGCCTCAGAGATTAATTTGTAGGTTTTCCTGTTGGCACAAGAGGGAAGTGGTACATTGGCAAACAGAGACTCCTCACCGACCTTGGGCTCTCTAGCCAATCTAAGAGAATAACGAGAGTCTTTTCTCAAAGGGTTCTCCTATCCTCTGCGGACATAATACATGTATTTGTGCGATGGGCCAAACTGGCTTAATAGCCTGTTTGTAAGCAGGGGGCTGTATAATGCGCTTATATAATTGGCTTATCCCCCCAAATTAACACCTTCCCGCTCTGGCTCCTAACCAAATTATGACTAACACCTTTCCTCAGACTAATAACATCTGGTCCATCAGAAAAGCTCAAATTCCCCTTCCAGGGGACTAAACTCTTTTGGTCCCCTGTAGCTGTGGAATCTGGCATTTTGCCTCATTCTCTGGCTGTGGTGGGGACAGTGGGACATAACATATCATTCCCATATGACATGTCCCAGTAAACGCCAGTTTATGACGACGTGGACAGGCCAACTATAATAAGCTGGAACAGGTGCCTTGCGATTGCAAGGTTCATTAAATAGCCAAATGCCTCGTCATCTAATTAGTGACATGCACAAATGGATGCGGGACTAACTATGACTCTCTTAAGGGGACCATAGTTACAACCTGGGCATAGCTGCACAGACAACACCTGCCCATGGTTTGTGCAGGACGCCCTAACATTGGGTGACCGAATTTGTCTCTGCCCCAGGATAGCTGCTCATGCCCTACTGTATTCACCAGCTACTCAGTAGTATTTCAAGGCATAAACATTTAAGTTGTTCCCAGAGTTTTATCTATTGGGCCGTAACCCTTTGCCTCAAGGCTTCGATTTGAGCATCCCAGGACAATTTGGGGAATTGGTTATCCTGGGTAAATCCGAATCATAGACAATGATCCTGGGGTCATTGGAGGACCCCTTGGGTGTGCCTGAATGGCAATGAGAGGAGTGCGGTTGGAAATTTAAGACCAAAAGCAGCCTCTCTGAGCACAAAAGACCCCAGGCCATGGGGTCCTGGATTGTGAATTTAATTTTGGTAGCGACTCAGATGGGGGACCCCACACTGAGATGACCAGGGAAAGACCTGTGTCTGTAACATCTTGTTCTGAGTCAGAAGGCCACTTATCTTTACCTTGATGATTTGTAATTTGGGCTATGGCAAATGGGGAGTGGGGCAGGATGTACTTACTAACCCCTCTAGCATGGATTGCTTGGAAGATCTTCCAGACATGTATGAGGTGCTGGTGACAGCGGCCACGCTGCTGACACTAGCCGAGGAGGTCAGATTGCCAGAGCCTGCATCTCCCTCTGGTATTACAATCCGCTTGGAAACGACTAGTCCCACCCTAGGCGCCGGCAATGGAGCAATGGAGATTTCTACCCCGGTTGTTAAGATTCCCCAGGACCATCCAGCATGTCCATGCTGTGGCACTAGGGTGGCAAAAATAACGGCTTTGCAGGAACTCTAAGGAGAGCCCATGGTCGGAGACAGGTTACTCAATCAGTGCTCCCGTTGTGGGAGGACTAATGAAAAACATCATAGTATTGCCTGCCATTTCCCAAAGTGCCAGGGATCCCCAGCTGAGTCAGAGGAGGGCCCCTTGGATGTGCCTGAATGGCAATGCAAGGAGTGCGATTGGAAATTTAAGACCAAAAGCGGCCTCTCTCAGCACAAAAGATTGATGCACCCACTTACAAGGAACATGGAACAGATCAAGGAGGCTTGCCTGAAGGGAAAAGGGATGCGGGGCATCCATAAGAGCTGCTGGACAGAAGAGGAAATAGCACAACTGATTGAATTGGAACAAAAACTTTAGAAGATGCACTTTGTTAATAAGCTGATCGCAGAGTATTTGCCAACAAAAACAGCCAAGCAGATCAGTGATAAAAGGTGGCAGCTGGTGGCTGTAACAAAGAGATCATCACCAGCAAAAAGTACAGCTCCGTCGCAACAAGGACACCTCCCCCGAGTGCAAAAGCAGAGAAGGTATTAAGAATAAATATAGAGGTTAATAGGAGATTGGATTAATGCTGGATCTCTGTTCTGGGTCTATTCCAGAAGATGCTGAAGATGACTCAGGTTATCACCAGTCCACTGAAGGAGCCGATAACGCTGGCGCAGAGGAAGCTCGTCAGGTCTAGGTTGAAATTTCATCAGAAACACCCAGCTGAGGTTGTTCCCGCAAAGAAGAGGAGGTGGATGAAACACCAGGCAGTTAAGCGGGGCCAATACCTCCGGTACCAGCGGATTCTTCACATTGAATCAGAAGAAGCTGGCGGGTATACTACTGGAAAACATTGAAGCAGTGAAATGCCCCCTTCCAGTTGAAGAAGTCTACGAGTTCTTCAGGAAGAGGCGGGTAGAGGTGACCCCCTCCAATGGCTTAGGATCATTCCAGAGTATGGGAAAGGCTGACAACTCCGTCTTCAAACTCATGATCACCCTAGGGCAGATCAGGAAGAACATGACAGAGATGTTGAAACACTCTGCCCCAGGACCGTATGGCCTGTCCCTGCAGGATATTCTTAATATAAACCCTCAGGGCAGCCGATTGGCCACATTATTGAACCTGTGGCTATTGGCTGCAAAGGTCTCAGATGAGATGAAGGTTGGAAGGATGGTCTTAATACCGAAGTTGACCGATCCCAAAAAGCTGGCGGACATGAACAACTGGAGACCCAATACCATTGGGCCCATAATACTAAGACTGTTCTCCCGGATATTGAGCACTGGCTACGATGGGCGTGCCCCATTAATAAATGCCATGGGGGCTTTATAGCAGCTCCAGGCTGCTCGGAAAATCTGAAGCTCCTTCAGGCACTGGTAAGAAGTGCAAAGAAAGATTAAAGGATGCTTGGGGTCATCTTTGTTGATTTGGCGAAAGCCTTTGATACAGCACACCACCAACACATCTTCCAGGTCTTGGGTCAGAAGGGTGTCAATAGACACATTATCGACACAATAAAAGACCTATATACTAACAGTGGAACAGCCTTGGAGGTGGACGGGCAGCACTCGGAATGGGCTAAGATCCTTGGGGGAGTGAAGCAAGGCAATCCATTGTCCCCAGTCCTTTTCAGTTTCGCACTAGATCCGTTGTTGTGCAATCTGGAAAAGAACGGAATGGGTTTCGAGTATGGGAAACAGCTCATAACATCACTAGCATTTGCTGACAACCTTGTGCTGTTCAGTGATTCCTGGGAGGGCATGAACAAGAGTATCAGGGTGGTTGATTCTATGATTCTATGATTCTATGAAGAAATATGTCAATGAATTGGGCTGCGGGTTCAGGCCTCCAAATGCCAAGGGGTTTTGATCAGGCCGATTGCAGACCAATATGCCATCAATGATTGTGACCCATGGACAATTGCTGGAATGCAATTGAATAGAGGATTGATCCAGGCAGTTCAGAAAAATATCTGGGCTTGGCGATAGACCCTTGGATGGGTCTATCCAAACCTGAGCTGCAAGAGATACTGGCCCTCTGGATAAGGAACATCGGGGGAGCCCCACTGAAACCTCTTCAGAAAGTTGACGTCCTGGGAAACTATGCAATCCCATGGTTACTGTTCAGTGCAGATCACTTGGGCATGAGTGCCACACACCTCCAGTACTTGGACCTTACTATTAAATCTGCTATAAAAAGCTGGTTACATCTTCCACCGACTACATGTGATGTGATCTTGTACATTAACTATAGGGATGGCAGCTTGGGATTTCCCCATCTATCAAGCCAGATCCCAAGGATTCAGGCTCGCAGATTGTTATGGATCACCCAGTCCGAAGATGACACCATCAGGAGCATCGTTCTCCAGGAGAGGATCCAAGAAGAGGCAAAAAGGGTACGGGTCTCCGTGGGCAGGTGTACGGATAAAGTTCCATCGGTGACGGAGTCATTTCCTATGGCAGCTACTGAAGCTCTGCTGGCTGGCGAGTCCTCATCCGAATGAGAAAGATCTGTACCAAGGACCATCTATCCTGTTCCCTGTAGAACGAGGAAGAGAGAAATGGAAAATGGGACCAATCTTAAAACTCAAGGCTGCAGTACTAGAAATTTTGAAAATGATCACGTAAGTAATGATCGGCTAATACATTACAGGGCATTGCCCACTGCAAATTGATAATGGCCATCCAGCTATGGATCAATGTCTACCCTGCTCGGGAATTTTGGACCCGTGGACTGGGAGAGGGTGTTCCCAGGGGGTGCAGGCATTGTTCTGCAGAACGGGAATCCTGTTCTCATGGAACTGGTTACTGCCTGCCCTGCTGTCCAAGAAGGAGCGATCAAAAGTCGTAACAACTTATATGGCTTGCTGGCTGAAGAGGCAAAAAACTGGGAGGGGAGACATTTGTAGAACCCCATCTCAGAGATAACAGCAAGGAACACTTCAAACAAGATCTGATAGCAGTGAAAGGGATCCGTGAAAAGGTGGCAGACATTACTGTCTGCTACAAAAGTGGAATAACAACTTGGAGTGACGCAGCAGTAGAAAAGGGGAGAAAATATCGACATCTGGAGGAAGAGATCCGAGCATTGGTGTCATTCACACTCAATTCACATCAATCACCATTTCATGAGGGAAATGCTATACTGGCAGTGAGAAGCTCCTCACCAACCTTGGGCTTTCAAGCCGTTGTAAAAGGATGGCGAGGATAGCGAGAGTTTTTTGGGAAATATCTCTCCGAGCTTCTGTGGATACCGTACATGTGTTTGCGAGTCGAGGTCAGCAGGCTCAACAGTCTACTTCTAACTGGGGCAGTATAATTGGCGCGGCCTCTTGTCCGAGCAGGAGCGGGGCAGACGTGCTATCCCGCGCCCGGCCCGCGCCCTGGGGACGTGGCC